ACTGTGAGTCCGATTCGGCTGAAATTTTGACACCAGCCGTCTACGAGAATGTACTACACGATAGTAACTTTCTTTTGCGATAGTGGCGTCATCGGGTGGTTAGGATAAGTACTTATCGGACTGCCCGCGTATGTGGACTCTGCACATTTGTATATCGCGAAAAAAAAATAAAAGTTGAGCTTCATACATTTTCAAAACTGTATATCGTGATGTGGGCAGTCTGCTCACAATGTCGATTGGATGCTCTCTTTAGAGATACATAAGTCGCCCAAATAATTGCAGGGACTTTTACAATGGAAGGACCTTCTGTGCAATAAAAAAAATTGCACTAAGATATTATTAAGTAAATTATAGTTACAAAAACCCTCGTATATCGTTCACTAATTAATAAAAAATAGTAATAAAAAATGCGTATGCATCGGCCGGGAATCGAACCCGGGCCGCCCGCGTGGCAGGCGAGCATTCTACCACTGAACCACCGATGCTTGTTGTGAGCGAGGCAAATGATCCAAAAAACTGTAGATGCTAAAAAAACGAAAAAAGTAAATCACCTCATCTCAAAAATTTTATCTCTACTTTGTTTTGATTGCCCAATCGTTAGTAGCTTCTACACAAGTGTGTATATATGTATCTGATTTGGTCTGTATAAAGCTCGAACCGATGATAGCTCTCTTGTGTGCAGTAATTGCCCTCTCGAAAGATCCCTAGAACTCATGGAGAAACGGGAATCTCTTAGCCATTGACTTTTTAACCGACTTCAAAAAAATTAGGAGGTTATCATTTCATCGGAATATTTTTTTTGTATGTATGTTACCGCCGCATAACTTTAGACCACGTTAACCGATTTCTATAATTATTTTGCTATCGGAAAGGTGTTGCCTCCGAGGTGGCCTAATACTAATCATTGGATAACGAAGAAACTAACGGTACTCTTGAATGTTTCTATGAAAATTGAAGTCGGTTTTGTTTTTTGCTTAAAAATTTTCTCGTTCATGTTGGAATTCTTTTCTTTTCAAAGGACCGTTGTTAAATTCAGTGCAATATTTTTAAATACCTACATATGTATAAATGTATAAAGAATCTTGTTTTTTTTTTATCTCTTCTTAAATATGTTGTAGTAAGTAGTTAAATAAGAAAAAAAGAGGAAAAAAACATAGTATTGCATCGGCCGGGAATCGAACCCGGGCCGCCCGCGTGGCAGGCGAGCATTCTACCACTGAACCACCGATGCTTATTGATTATTGACGATTATTTGCGCAAATAAAATTTGGCACAAAATAAAAATATTTGAATGAGCTAATCTTAAAAAGAAAATTACTAAATGTGTGTATGCCAATGTTTATCAATAATTAAAGTTAATCTGCCTTTGTTGTTTATTTCGCTAATTTGCCAATCACATGGTTTAAGTTCGTTATCTCTTCAATTAATTTATACATAGTATATAGCAATCAAATTTAAATTTTAATTAAAAAATACATTTATTGGCACTTTTGCTAAAAATAAATGTTTTTCAAGGTGCTTGCTGGTAAGGTGTTTTCGATTTTATGTTATTGTGGCTCCCGCTTTAGAGAACAATTGTTCACAAGGAACTGACGATGCAAAAACTTGTAAAAATAGCCGAGCTTGCTTAAACATACAGTGGTGGTCAAAAATGGATGAATGGTGTTTCGTTTTTAATATTTACAATATTTTTCAAGCTAAATTTTTTTTGATATTTTTTTATAAAAATATGGTTCATGCTTTAACAAAAGCCATATAAATTTCAAACTTTATACAGAATTTAGAAAAATACCCAAATTTTTATTTAAATTTCACGCTTTTTAACCACATTTTTTTCTTTTTTTTGGGGTCTGCAGTTAACAGGATTATAAAATTCTAGTAAAATTAGCGCAAGTTTTGATCGGCTAAAAAATCGCATTGATTTTTAATATTTTTTTTTTTGCTGACGGCTTTTGCGTTTTTTTTTTCACTACATAAATATCGAAATTTAGGAAAACTGGCGTTGACTCTTTTTTATTTTTTTCGCAAAAGGTCTGGCGAATATTCTTCCACAAAAAAAATTAATTCAGAATCACATTCTGAAGAATAAATTGTTCTTTCAGTTCAGCTTCGTGTCTCGAATAGTGTTTAAAAAAAGTTAGTATTGCTTGCGTGAAGCCATCGCAATGTTAACGATGAAAAGAAACTCTATCTACTCCAATTAAAAATGGATGACCCTCCATGCGTTTAATTAATTCTTGCTCGCACTAATTAATCACTTTCCCATTCAACACTAATCGAATTAAGGAACCATTCACACAGCAAAACATAACTCCTTTTTTAATTGTATAAAATTTAAAAAAAACTAAGAGTTTTTATTATAAGAATAATAAAGTTTCTCAATAAATCGAATTTATTACGCTTATTTCCTGTCAGTTTTGCGCTGCGCTGTTTCCCTTTGTCTTCGAGTATTTCCATTTTACTCATTCTTTGTGCGCACAATACATTGATTAATTCTGACACCATTTATCACGCTACTATCCCGTTTCTACAGAAAAAATCTACTCTGTATAGGAGTATATTTATAAAAGTAAAAAGAGAGCTGATGAAGCTAAAGTTAAAGCACGAAATTAAAGAATGAAAAAAAAAACAACAAACGGCGCGATTCGATGCAACGCAAGGAACGTAGCCATCGACGGATGATTCTTTGGCTAGCTGGCTGGACTGATTCATTGGCACAGCAGCAGCGGCAGCAGCAGCAGCGCTCACAATAAAATCCAATCAAGCGATTGGTTGCGCATGCGCGTGAAGCCTGAACGGGAACAAAAAAGCAAGCCCAGCAAAAAGTGCTGGAGTACTTACTACACCATTCTACAAACGTATGTAGGTAATCTTGATGGAGCAAAGTATGTATGTATCTACGTAAAAACCATAAAGGCTGTGTGCTGTGGGCCTGTTGTGAGTAGGAATTGAAGGTGGTGGCGGTTGGGAAAAATGAGCTTCGAAATGGAGTGAGCCTCATGCGAGATGGAGGAGCAGCAGCTAAAATGCATGCAACCACGTTTCAATAGCCAATTTAGAATGTTTTTCTACTTGCTGTGAACGGTGCTATGCCTGAGTGAGATGATGCCGATGCTGGTGATGACGATGGCTATGCTGGTGGAGGCAACAAATCCAATTTGACACGCAATCACGTAGAACCAATCGTTTTGGAATTTAGTATTGAGTAGCGCTAGTTTTTCTTTCTTTGCTTTTATTCCACACGGCGTTCGTACATTTGTACTTCAATCGTCTGCTCCCCAAATCCCCAATAGCTTAACTAATGCATTTTTGCCACACTCGAGTTAAAATGTGATTTGCATTTTTGCAGCACCGCTGTGCTTTCTGGGATTTTTGTTTTCATTTTTTTGTTTTGATTTCAAAAGTTGAGTAATCTCCGATTGCGCACGCACAACCAACCAACCAACCAACCAACACGCTCGATCAGTCTAGGGTGCATGAATGAGCTAAGGTGGCTGGCAATTGGCCAGGCTATGAACGTGAGGAGGCGGTTGAGCTGAGCAGTAACCCAACAAAGTACGTGCGGCAGCCGTGGCAGCACCTAAAATACTTTCGGAGAATGTGCGAGTGGTCTTTGTAGTGTCGCCATCGCCATAGTTGCTTTGGTGTGTGCGCGCTACGCCTGCGCGCATTTGCGTTATGATTAATGATGTTTTGTGCGAACTCTAGCGTCCTTCCGCCGCCCGTAAAAATCCTGCCTTCAACCTCACGGCCACATAGATTGTGCATAGCCGGAGAGAGAAATGTGCGATTATAATGATAAGAAACATTGTGCGTCTAGTGAATGATGAGCCGCAGGCCAAGCTGCACAGTGCCAAGTAGGAGTAGAGCGCGCTGCGCGAGTCAGAGGTTGAAAATGTGATGCGGCGTTTGTGACTCTGACCGTGGCTTTGGATGTGACTGTGGCATTGGAGGTTGGCTCGCGCAACCTGACACAATCTCTGTTTGGAAATCTAAAGTCAAGTTAAGCTACATAGCTGACCGACCGCCAGTGCACCAAAATGTTTAACCATCCAAGAGGCTGTCTCAAATATTTACGCCAACCTTGCCCGCTTATTTTGCTACTATTTTTCTTCTGGTTGATTTTTTGGTCCTTTCTCTTTTCTTCCCTGCTTTTTCTGTCTGCCTCTTCATGCTTTACGATTTACTCGCTTGCTTGCCTGCACCCCTCTTGGTATGATCCTCTCAATTCTTTTCATTCTCTTTCCTCCGCCACCTATTTTTTTCGTTATGCGTTGCCAGCACTTTTTGCAATTTTATGGCGGCAAATAATTTATTTGATCACACTTTGAAGGTCCTCTTTGAAGGTGATGCCGCTGCGCATTTACTCTATTCATTTTCTGTAGTTTATAGTCTTCGCTCCTTTCTCGCCGCTCGTTCGGAATTCTGCTGCCAATTGTACTGGATTCGTTTGGCTGATTTGTGAGTGAAGTTTAATGGAAGATTTATGCCCCCAAATTGGATGCTGTTTAGGCATTTTGAATAGCATATTTTTGCATACAGATGGAAGGATTGGAGCAGGGTGGTGAAGGAGAGGCTAGAGGCTTGGAATTCTATTTTGCACCTTGGCTAATGAGTTCTCAGGAAAGAATTTTTTGGTTTTCGATTTAGAGTTATATAACAGTACATTAAATTTATTATACATTGTTCGGATTTCAGCCTAATTTCAGGGCTATCACTGAATCCATCGAATTCGACTCCTTTCTACGAATACATACGAAAAAATTGTTAACACTGAATTCGAGGGAACTCGAAAATATCATTGCCAGCTTCGAACGGCCGTAAAGGATTTTTACGTAGTATATGTTCGCAATTTTGCTCACCATACCCTAGCAATAGCAATGGCCCAGTGAGCGAAGCA